AGGCGCCTATCGCCGTGCCAGCGCAGCCCTTGTGGTACAGCCTAATCCTGAGATTGAATTACCTGCCTTCCTCTAATTAGCACCGCCTAAAATACAAGGTGAATGAAAGCAATCATATTTTAGAATGGCCTAAAGTAAACTGAGTTATGACTTAGACTGAATCAGCACAGCTAAAGCCAAATTGCTTAGAACTGCTCTGATTTGATCCGAGCTCCCGTTAATTTACTAACTTCAATTAGCCATCTTTAAACACAGCCTAAATCAAGGCAGGCTCCTTTTCTTTCATGGCAGGCTTCAGAAATGCTCACATGCCCTACAGTATTGCTTTCTTTGCCTTCCTCTGCTGATAATGCCACGCATGCTGCGCTGCTGCCACACGTTTGTGTGTATAGGTGCATGTATTTGCATACGCTGGTAAATTCCAATCCAAATGTTTTAGTTGTGTAACTTTTTTCTACATACACCTTGTGTATCAGCAGTGAATGGTAGGATATTTATTTTAGCCTTGTACTACTGTAGGTAAGCGGACAGCTTCCTTTCTAGATGCTGTGGATTTAACAGCTCCTTTCATTTCCATCGTAATCCTTATCTTGAAGTTACACCGATACAATATTTTACATTCAAAACTATGAAGTGCTTTATTCCCTCTAACTGCATTGCTCACCTAACAAAAGATGTGAATTCAGAAGGGAGTTTGGAACATTTGGGATAACTTCCCTTTCTGTTGTCTCTTACAAGCAACCTGAGCATCCACTCCTCATCACGGGCAGAGCACTCCTTAAAGCAGCTGGGACAGAGAGGTGCCTTCCAGACACCAGCTGTGGGGTTATTCTCACCCAGACACACACGGATCCAACTTTGCCCATAGGGAGCTGCATCCTTTTGGTCACAATACAGCAGAGATCAATGTGGCTGCCCAGTCATTTCTGCCCATGACAGCTGTATGTTTGCTTCCCACTGCTCATCCCAGCCCCAGCACGAGGGCAGCACGAGGGGCAGCTGGGGACACACGCCTGCAGTGCTGCTGGAGGTGGAAATACACCTCAGGCTTCCTCAGCTCTACACCAGAGCATCCTGACGACTGTTCTCCCTGGATCGTGAGGTGAGATGAAACAACTTCTTATTTTCCATAGTTGTGAGGACTTTAATCAAAGTAATTATTGAAGCTGATCTGATTAGGAAGTAATCTATTTACAAAAAGTTAAGACTGCCAACTGGGAAACAACTATCCAGCCTGCGATTGGGGATGATTCCATGCTTAATTTTTCAAGTGTTATTGAATATGTCATCTGCGAATGTAAAATATTTATTTTTCTACACTAATAAATAATCGCTATCTCAGCAACACAACGTGCAAACAACATGTAATGCTGGCTTGCTTTCAAGCATCTGCGTGTGGGGTTCTCCTCGGAGCAGCCAGAAGTGATGTGCTGCACCTGGCACCGCACGCCAGCAACCACCTGGGGCACGAATTGCAGGACAGCAGGCAGCATCGCTCAGCACCAGCACTGCCCCCTGAAAGCACCAAGCCAGCCTCAGTGCGATTCACCACCAAGGTGCTTATGGCACCTATTCACACTTTCTGAAGACTTATCTGGGATGTATAAACATCAAATGAACTCTTTGCATACAATAGACATAAAACAATCTTCCACTTAAAATCTGCAAGGGATCTGTGCCAACACTGTAGTGGGAATGCAAACTGCTAACAAAGGAAAGAATTTCATTCCGACTTGGCTCTTTACTCCGCGGGCTCGTAAGAGTAAGAATCATCGCATCTGATCCACTCACAGCTCTGAGCCAAACAGCACTCATTGAGGGGAATGCTGCTGGGCAGGGAGGACACAGCAGGGCAGGGAGGGCGCAGCCTCTGACCCCAGCTGTTCCGTGCTGGTATCAGCCACGTCCAAAGGCTGTTCCCTAGGAACCAACTGCCCCAAGAGCTAAAACACATGGGTACGTAAGAGCTGTGCAGCGACTGAACAGAGAGGAGCCACAAACTCCTAAACTGGAAAAGGCATCTTCGGTTTCACATCTAAAGTGTTTTAAATTGCAGGCTTAAAGTCATCTGAAGATGCTCTGGAGCCTCCAGCTGTCCTTTCCAGAGGGCAAGAAGTCTCAAGTTGCTGTCAGAGTATACAGATGTCTAGAAATGCACATCAATTTTAAATTTCTGCCAAATTCCAATCCTGCTTGATGCATGCTGTTTTGCCTTTTCTTGGGAGCTCCTGCCAAAACAGCCCGACTTCCAGTATTAGCAAAAACATGCAAGCACTCCAAGTTATTGCTCCACTTACACCTATGAAAAGGTTTCTAACACAGGAATGAGATATCTGCATAGAAAACCGTCAGAAGAGGAAAAAGCGATTCTCAGTTTTCTGCATAATAGTATTTTTGTCGGTGTCACCTCGGCAACATTACAAGTGATCAAAGAAGTGACTGCGATACACTGCGGAGCAGCTGGGTAAGATGGAGCAGCTCTCCTCTGGAGCTCAGGACATTTCGTATCACGTAACACAGCTCAGCCCGCAGCCGCGTCACGTCGGTGTGCTGGGAATCAGCGCTGGGAGTGGAAGTCTGAAGTTGGAAAATCACCTTTACATGACGAAAACGCACACAGTTCCAACATAAGCGGGGTGTTTACATCTGAAGAAAAAAAGTGATCTCTCACTAAACCTGGGGGACAGAATGACAACTGGGTTTTTCTTTAACGAAGGAGCTTTTCAGATGAAGCAGGAATGTCAGCTTCAGTGCATACTCCGTTGACTGGAACACGATCAAGTCTTAACTAAGTTCCACATAATGTTTTCAGGGGAAAAATGGAGAATGTTTTATGGAATTCAAGTCTGGATTTGGCTTGCATCCTAGAACATACATCTTGTTATGAAAACTGTTGAATCGCTTTTAAGCAGGCAAACCACAAGTGTCCCTGGAGCCACCCATTCACCTGGAAGTCCCACAAGCAAAGGGAAGGCAGAAGAGCTTTGGTCTGGGGCAGCCAGGGGCTGCAGAGGGAGGGGAGATGGTTTTGGAAGTACCTCGTGAATGGAACTGCTCGCTTGTGCCTACAGCATGAAGCAGTTAAGACTTGTTTTCTGTTATTGTCACAGATCCAATACGTTACTCCAGCTACATCATAATCTCTTCCTGCCTCAGTTCATCCATGTGTAAACCTGATTCACTAACTCTTACCTTAATGTGTCATGGGGCTTAATTAATAACACTTAGGTCTTTTAAGCCCTCTACAAACATTAACTACTTCTTGTAACAACTCTCAGAGGTATTATTATCCCCACTTTACTGATGGAGACACAGCAAAAGAGGCCGCAACTCTCTCAAGGCAGCAAAGCAACGTCTAGGTTACTCCTAGAGATCCCCTCGGAGGGCCGTCGTATCGTAACCGTGGAAACTTAGCAAGAAAGGCAAAGTCGATGCGTACCACCTCAAAAGCACTTTCAGAAGCGCAACGTAACCGGAGGACCAAAAGGAACGCACCCAGAAGCAACAGGCTCGGGACGGGATCGCGAGCCACGGCCGCCGCCGCAAAGCACAGCGCCGGGGCAGAACCCGCCGAACGGCGCCGAGGCGCCGAGACCCGTCCTCACGTGCCGCCGCGCCTCGTCGCACCGAGCGGTGGCGAGTGGACGGGCGAGGCGGCACGCCGAGCACCGGGCTGCCCCGCGGCGGGGCCCCGAGCCAGGACGGAGCCGCCGACCCCCGCGGGAGGAGCCCCGCCGCGCCCACACCGGCGCCCGGCTCGGCGAGGGGCTCCCGGCGCGGGGCACGGCCCGAGC